CCACTGAGTACCTCAGCACCCTATGGGCAAGCCACCCTGCAGGGAAGTGTCCACATGCTATACGAGACCGCCGAACTCAACGAGTTCGGCAAAGTCGAAGCTCCAGTCGACATAACAATCGACCCCAACTTCCCCATGAGGAGAATAGTGGGGTCAGAAGCGGCGCATGACGCCGCATACGCTTGGTGGACAAGCGTGAGTGGGAAAGAATTCGTACACTGGTACGAACAGGCTGAAGCCGCCTTCAAAAGCGGCAAGGTACACAGAACCCTTCGCGAAAAAGCGAAGGAAACCGAGAAATACTTCTTGGGACTCCCGAGCATCGCAAGACTCGCGGAGGAATATAATTCCCCGGAGAACAAGGGAAAAATCTCCTGGGAAAGTCTAGGCAAAGCTGCCTACTTAAAGTCCCAGTTCAAACCACTCAGGACTCCTGAGGAACGTGCCGCAAAAACGGCGGAGCGGGAAGCGAAAGCTTCCAAATACCGGGAAAGAGACGCAAGTCTCCGAGCTGGACAACCAGCCCAACGACCATCCTTCCCCACGGGAAGAACGGTAAACCTACCGTACTCTACACCTGAGCCAAGCAGCTCAGGAACACAACAACCCGCTCCCACCCAGGGAGCACCCACTTCGTCGAGCCCACAGCCCGACAATGTAGCCCAGGCTACGTCATCGCATCCGACGCAGCAATCGGATGTCCAGATGAACAACCCGGAGGAAAACCCTCCTCCGGGGCAATGAATCCACCCTTGAGAGAAGGGAGAGTGACACGGTAATACGCCATCGAGGCGCCCGTGAAAACACCCCCCCCAACTCGAGGCCCCGCACACAATACTGTATGCGAGGAACCGCAAGTAACAATTGCGGAAATCTCCACTCCGCCAAAAGACCCACACCCACCACCGCTCGTGTGTAAACACCACTTACACACGAACCCTCACAGAACAAGTGAGGAACACCAAAGAAATACAACCTTTGGGTCGAAATCCATTTTCGACAAACTCCACCACTTCTTTCTTCTCTCCCTGCGATACCAATGTATCGCCGTTCACTTCAAAGTAACGGCCCACACTCATTCAAACCCCTTCTCTTCCTTTCACCAACATGTACAAAATCGCCCACTTTAAAGTGGCGACAACAGAAACACTCATTGATAATTCCAAACTCAATGTAAACCAACTATCAAAATTCTGTTTTTATTCACTATCAACTTTGTATGCGTCGCATATGCAACGCAAGGGGGGAGAATGTCAGGGCAATAGCCCCGAACCCCGAGTCACATGTAAACTAGATAGATATAGTCACGTGGACAAGCGGGAACCTCCGGGTAACCGCTTACACACCACCGTAAAATACATCATCTTGTATCACTTACGGCTTTGTGTGCTGAGCAACCCCAAAGACCTCACATTGGGCATGTGTACTGACAAGCCCAATACAGGACAGTAGTCCCTAGCCACTTAGACTGAAGTGGAAAGTTGTTATTATCATTAAAGGGGGAATACTGTACTACTTACCTGAAGTGGAAAGTTGAGAAGAAGGCTACTTCTTTGGTTCCCACTTCAGGCACATTTATATACATGCACCTTGGGTCACATGACAGATGCCACATCACCCTCACACACAGCTGTAACCACCCAGGTGTCTCCATGGGAGATCCTGAGGGCATCTGGTGCGAGTGTGCATGCTGGGCACAGTGGGAAGTCACCTGAGGTGCCCAGGCCAGGTGTGTCATGGGCACACTGCAGATGGGTCAATGGTACATTGATACAAAGGAAGGTCGTCCATGTAGAATAAAGAGAAAATAAAGAGGAAGTAGAAATAGGAAGAAAGTGAGGAAACAGAAATGAGACAAGGGAGAGGAGGAGGGGGAGGAGGTGAGGTGGGGTGGATAGTGGGGTACCGGGTCAGGTGGGGCCAGGTGGAGCCGGGTCAGGCGGGTGTGCCCTGACATCACCCCATCCTTAAGCCACTTCGCCTTGAAGCGGCCAGGTGGTTCTCCCTCTCTCTCCCTGGAGCTTGGGGGTGCACCCTGTGGAATTCCTCGATCCAGTCGTGGGCATGGGCTAAGTGGTCTCGCTGGAGCCATTGGTTCTCAGAGTTTGGCCAGCCAGTGAACTTTACCAGATACCAGAGTTTCCGGTGTAACCACTTAGAGTTCAGTATCCTCTCGACCTCATACTCTTCTTCTCCTTCTATGAGTTCTGGGCCTGGGTGTGGGTCAGCGGGTCGCTCTGCAATGCCATCTGGGTGGTATGGCCTAATGTTCGTCATGGACATGACCGGGTGGATTCCCTTCTGTCGAGTGGTAAGCTGGAGCTTGACAGCAGCTGGGGAGATAACTTTAGTGATTCTGAAGGGGCCAAGCCATTTGTGGTCCAGTTTTTTGGTCAGGCAGTCGGTCATGTAGTTTTGGGCATTGAGCCAGACTTGGTCACCTTCTTGATACTTTGGGGCCGGGTCACAGTCCTGGTCATAGTAATGGGCCATCTCGTCTGCTGCTGTCATATCCATCCCTGGCCATCGACTTCCGATCCCTCCGTTCCAACTCCGCTCCTCCCTCACTAACCTCGGAGCCCCCATATTCCGCAATCCTCTCGGCACCCCTCGATGGTCACCACCCCTCATTTCAATTTATTACCTACGCCTCCCTAAGTACGGAGCCCCGAAGACTTCCGGACAGCTCCGACGTCCGCTAGCGCACCCCCGCCTCCGCTGGGCAATACACTCGCCTGCCCTGCAGAGCCCACCTTTGGGCCTATCCCACCTTTCCGTTTCTGGGTTATCGCCTGCCTTTCCGCTAACCCCGCGAACCGACTTGTCGGTAATATTCAGTCAGCTAATGTTAAACCCCATTAGCTCCGCTCCGTTCGGCTCCGCCAATTGCGGAACCGTCTCCGCTGTAACCATATATATATCCCACTTGTACATAGGTTACGCCCCAGTAGTAAAATCAACTAGAGTTACCCCCCTAGGTTCTAATTGCCAGTCAGTAAGTTAGGGCACGGACGTGTCACTAGGCACAGCGCTCTTGGCAGAAGTCGCTGAGGCCGAAGCCCTCCGTTACGGAGACATTCCTTCGTCTCGAATCTGGTCTCTGACAGCTGCATGCTCTAGTGCTGCCTTTGCCTCCTCCTGCATTTTCATCATCCTTGATGAGAATGCATCAGCAGCTTCCACCTTGGATGTGTGTGTGGGTTCTGTCCCCATCCTAGGGTGTTGGCCGGTGTCGAGTTCGAAGGGGGTTCGGTGGGTGGAGGAGTGGACGTGGTTGTTGTAGGAAAATTCCGCTGGTGGGAGCCAGTCCGCCCAATCGTCCTGATGGTGGTTGATGAACACCCAGAGATAGGCCTCAATCTCCTTATTGACCCACTCCATCTGTCCATCCGTCTGGGGGTGGTAGGGCATCAAAGGGGTCAACTTGATGCTGTAGGCAGGCACAGCCGGTACTGCACAAACAAACCAAATATCGCGATTTCCCCATCCCAGCACATCCCCACTTCACGAAACACATCACACACGTCCTCATATACCATTCCTACTCTTCCATGATTTTTTCCTATTTTTCCAGACACATTCCCAGTCCTCACAGACCAAATTCCCACGCCCACCCAGCAGCGCAGCCACACTCAGACTGGATTTCACTTATCTCAGCAACCACTGCACCGATTTGGACGATATTGGTACCGTTGAAAACGCGTCATTTAGGAGTATTAGGATCCATAATTAGCGGGAGTTGATTGGTGATGGATAGAGTTGGATATTTTTTGGCTGGAAATCATTTATTGCTTTATTGTTTTCTTGATTATTGTTTTCCCTTCCTTTTTCCGATATTGTTTGTTGCTGATATGACCCACCTAAGCACATGGGACTCATCGGATATTTTCCTTCATTTTTATTTGATCATTTCTCATATATATCTGTACATGAGGATGTATCTACCTTTCCCCTTGGATTAGAAACCACCGAGTTTGCCCCTCCCAAGCTAGTAGGGAGTAGTACGACCAAGAAGATCAGTAAGAAGAAGCCTCTAGATCAGTCCTTGCTTTAGTGTCACCCAGAGAGGTGGGGTGAGAGACTGATTGGAGTACACCATGCACCGTACCACACCGGACCATATTTACCATTACCAAAACCCCCCTTTTTCCTGACCTGCTGGATACCAATCCAGTCCCCGTCCCTTTCCTGTTTGCTGCTGGGTTAGATCCCTAGCCCGCTTACAATGCCTAGGAGGTCTGCGAGCTCTTTCGAGAAGCAGGAGACAAAGGCACTCCCCCTGTTGCTGAGGATCTCCTCAGGGAGCCTGTGGTGTCTCCAGATGTGCTCCAGGAAGAGTCGCACGATACCCTCTGAATCCATGGTCATCACAGTGGGGACTGCATGGATGCATTTGGACAGATGGTCCACTACGACCAAGATGGCATTGTATCCCTTTGACTCTAGGAGTTCTCCTATCATATCTACTGAGATGATCTGCCAATGATGGGTGGGGACCTTGTTTGGGGTGAGCTTCCTGACCTTTCGTGAGGGGAAGGACTTGATGCGATTGCAGGTATCACACCTGCATACGTATTGCCCGATGTACTCTGCCATCTGGGGCCACCAGTAGTCACAGGAGATGAGTTCCAGGGTTTTCCATCGCCCTGGGTGCCCCATCGCCTGTGAGTCATGGTGTAGCTGTACCAGATCGTGGCAGAGTTGGGGGTCTTTCAGGACATACACCCTTCCCCAGTACAGGACTAGGTCACCTTGCTTCTCCCACTCATCCAACCTTCTCCTAGCTCCCACATGGCCTTTACCACCCTCTCGTCATGGTCTTTCGCTTCACGTATTCTCCCCAGGATACCCACCTCTTCACCCTCCACCAAGACTGCCTCTGTTGCATGAGCTTCAAACCAGGCAGGTTGGAGGAGAGTCAGCCCTTCATTGTCATCCCTCCCTTTTGGGTGGTCCACACGATGGGAGAGTGCGTCCGGCTTCCCCATGAGCTGTCCAGGATGGTGGACGAGGGTGAAATGGAAGTGGGAGAGGAAGAGGGTCCATCAGGCTTGGCGTCGATTCAGCCTCTGGGCCATCCGGAAATAGCTCAGGATGCGGTGATCGGTGTAGATCTCAACCTTCTCCCTGGCACCTTCTAGGAAGTGCTGCCACTCTTTGAGGGCTTGGACGATCGCGAGTGTCATATCCATACATACCCGATCCCGATCCGACTCCCGGACCCCCAACTTCACCACCTCCGGAGTCCTACCCTATCTCCGTCTGCTCCAATACTCACCTTGGACCGAACATCACTCCTCTCGCCACCCTCCTCCTCTTACTCCTCCTCTTATTCCTCATGACACCTCCACCCTTCCATCACTCTCCTACCCTACTTCCATCTGCTCCGATACTCACCTTCAGACCTGACACCTTTCCTCTCCTCCACTCCTCTCCCCGCTCCTCTCTTCTCTCTCCTCCCTCTGACCCTCTTCCACCACTGTCCCGTACCCCGTACTCGGACACCGCTCGTACCTTCGCTCCGAGATTCCATCATACGACCTCAGACTTTGACTCCACCTCAGCTTAAGTCCATTGCATTGGTGACCTCATACTATATAAACACCATTGCCAAAATTCCTTGGACTTTCAACCCTGCCTCCGTAACCTCTGTAAGCTCCAAGCTCCACAGATCATACCTGGCACTTTCACTGTTTGTAATGTATCTTTCGCGCTTTCCCCTCATCCTTATTTGGACTGCTGCTTCTTCCCATTCTAGCCAGTTAGTCATCATCCCCACTTCACCTCATCTTCCTGCCCCTCTGGGCTTTGCCCTCCCTATCTCCTTTCGGATGTACCACAGGTTCTAAACCTATGACCTTCGGTGCCGCTCCGCTTTCATCTTCCCTTTGTCCTGTTCAGATGCCTTTGTTCTGATTCAGACCCTCTTTGTTTCCTCATGCTTTTGCCCTCTCCATTATATATTGGCGCTTGTACATACTCATTTTAGGCCCTTAGTCTAAAATCGACCTGAAATGCCCCCTAGAGACTTCCTGCTCAATGCCTCTGAAATTAAGGACCAAATGGACAAACAGCAATGGCACAGCGCTCCGCATGAGTCACTGAGGCCAAGGTCCCTCCTTGCTAAGTCCCTGGTTCCCCTCCAGAATCATCCACCCTCACCCAGTTCTAACAGCAAGCATCTCCTTGTACACCTCATAGTTGCATTCTATGTCTGTAAAGCTCTTGGACATGAACACTGCCAGGTGGAACTCCATCTCAACCTTCTCCCTGGCACCTTCCAGGAAGTGCCGCCACTCTTTGAGGGCTTGGATGATCACGAGCATCTCCTTGTTGTACACCTCATAGTTGTGTTCTACGTCTGTAAAGCTCTTGGACATGAATGCTACTGGGTGGAACTCCCCATCCGACTGGAGCTGGGAGAGGACTGCACCAGTCATGAAGTTGGAGGCATTGCATTCGAGCCTGAAGCAGCCAGAGTCTGAGGGGAAGGAGAGGATGGGGGCAGTAGTGATGGCTTCTTTAAGGGCCTGGAAGGCACCATCCTCGTCTGGGCCCCAGCTCCAGGGTTGGGTCTTCTGGGTCAGCTTGTGGAGCAGGCATGCCTTCTCTGAGAAGTCCTTGATGAACCAGCAATAGAAGTTCACGAACCCTAGGAAGGACTGCACCTCCTTCACCTTTGTTGGAACCGGCCAGTCAAGGACTCCACGAACCTTCATGGGGACCATCGCCACACTACCCTCAGAACCTAAGTACTCGATCTGTCCATTCGAATTTACACTTCTCAGGTTTCAGGAAGAGCTTTCTCTTCCACAGTGTCTCTAGGACCTCTCAGACGACCCTCTGGTGTTCTTCCAGGGTTGCAGTGAAGATGAGGATGTCGTCCATATAACAGATGATGACCTCCCGGTCGATGAAGTCCCAGAGGATGTCGTTCATCATAGTTTGGAAGGTTGCAGGGGAGTTGCACAGGCCAAAGAACATCACCATGGGCTCGAACAGCACCTGGTCAGTTGCAAACGCCACCTTCCATTCATCCCCATCCTTGATCCAGACATTGTTGAACCCCCAGTGCAGGTCCAAGGCTGAGAAGTTCTGTAGGTTCTCCTGTAAGAACTTGTCCAGCTCCTTCTGTTTGGGTTGTGAGAGGGGGAAGGTTTTCCCTCTGGGTAGTTTCGCATCCAGTACCGGGGGGGCAGCTGGTCAAAGGCCTCCTTTGAAAACACGTCCCAGAAGTCTTGGTAGTGCCCTGGCACCAGTGTCTCAAACGGCACAGGCTCTGTCCCTGGGTCATGGGCCTCCTGGGCCATCTGCTGAGAGGGTGTCATAGTTGCCCTCAAGTCATGCCCCCACCCTGAGGGAATGATCGCAGTGTAGATCCTGTCCCCAGGCTCTACTGCGAAATCTTGGTCATCCTGCACTCATGGATGCCTGCAGGAGGATGGGCAGCAAGACATGACAACTTTCTGTCATGCCCAGTCTACTTCCGGGTTGTGATGCAGCAACCATGAGTGCCCTATGATGAGGGACTGATGTCCCAAATTCGCAACTGCAAAGCGGCCTGTTCTGTGTGTTGCCCAAACGTCAGGAGGGCCTCCAGTTCTTCAGTTATGCCCCCATTTTTGTTCAGGGTTCCATCAACATTGTGGACGGGTATGGGCTGTGGGAGCGGGGTGGTCTCGAGTCTGTGCTTCCGGATGAACTCAGGGCTCACGAAATTCCCGGTAGCCCCTGAGTCCAGGAGGGCTGACACTGACACAGAGGTGAGGGAGGTTAGGGCAGTTGTTAGAACAGGGGGATTCGGACGACTCCGGAGTGGAATCGGAGACTTAGCGTGGAAGGACCTCGGCCTCAGCAACTCAGGCGGAGCACTGTGCCATTGCTGGTTGTCCTGGGGGTCCCTAATTTCAGATCTAGCAGAGGGAAAGTCTCTTGGGGGCATTTCAGGTCGATTTCGGACTGAGGTTACAAGTTACTATGTACATTGTATATAAGGAGGGGTCCGGAATCAAAAGGGACAAGGGTAGGATGAAAGGAGACAAAGGGAGCTGGAAGGAGGAACAACACCAAGGGTCAAGGGTTTGACTCAATGGTGTTTCCCAAAGGAGGAGTGAAGGGCCAAGGCCCAAGGAGGAAGGAAGGAGGATGGGAGTGGGGAATGGCCAGCTGACTGAATAGAAAGAAGCAGCAGCCCAAATAGGAATGAGGGAGAATGGTGGAATTGAATAGGACAATACAATAGTTGCAAGGTCCGAGGTAAGTCCGGAAAGTCCGAACTCGGAAGTTAAACTCCGGAATATTGGCAAACATAATTAAATGGAATGAGCTAACCAATACAATGGGTATAAGCGGAGGTGGGGTCAAAGTCCGAGGTTGGAGCTAAGACCGGAGGTTCCGGAGACGGAGATGCGAATGGGATTCCGGAGTGGAGGTCCGGAGTCGGGAGCATAGGTGTTGCATGCTTGTCTGGAAGGTGTCGAGGTTGAGGTCAGACCCGGAATGTTCCGGAGTCGGACCGAAGGTGGTGTCAGAGCCGGAGGTGGGATAACCTCTTGGGAGTCGGCAAGGAGAAAGTGACAGAAGGGAAGTAGGGCTCCGGAGTCGGTTTCGGAGTTCCGGGAGCCCGGAGCAGAGGTCGGGATTGTATGGATATGACAGCAGTCAGCTTCACTGTGAGGTTGAGTGACCTGGGGGATTGTCTGGAGAGGACATAGATGGCGGGTGGGGACTGCCACTTCAGGTGTCAGCTCTGGGTGTCTCTCATTCTTATGGTCAGGGGATGCACTTTTCCTCCTTTTCTTTGCGATAAGTCGATGGAATTTCTGCAATGGTGCTAACTTGCACATGTTGTGGTATTTACACAGGTTATCTTCTGGTGGCTGGGACGCATCCCTCACTGGTCACCCTCCTGAAAATCCTCTTGGGGGTCCAGCCCCACCTCTCCCTCTTCTGCTTCAGATCCCTCACCCAGCTGCTTCTTCAGTCCCTCCATCAGTGCTCACAGGTCTTCTGGGTGTAGGCATCGGACCCAGTGGACCTTGGGGTGCAGTGTCAGGGACTCGTCCGGGGTCGAGGGGGTCCGGGTGTAGCATCCGGGACCGAGAGCCTGGCGGGGGGCAGATCAGGCGTGCGTACTGACAGGCCCGATGCGGGACAGTGGTCCCTGGCCACTTAGACTGAAGTGGAAAGTTGTTATTATCATTAAAGGAGAGATATTGTACTACTTACCTGAAGTGGAAAGTTGAGAAGAAGGCTACTTCTTCGGTTCCCACTTCAGGTTCGTTTATATACATGCGGCTTGGATCACATGACGGGTGCCACGTCACCCTCGCACACAGCCATAACCACCCGGGTGTCTCTGCGGGAGATCCCGAGGGCATCCGGTGCAGGCGCGCGTGCTGGGCACAGTGGGAAGTCACCCGAGGTGCCTGGGCCAGGTACATGGTGGGCGTGCTGCAGATGGGTCAATTGTACATTGATACAGAGAAAGTCGTCCATGTAGAATAAAGGGAGAATAAAGAAGAAGTAAGATAAGGAGAAACTGAGGAGGGGAGGATGAGGGGGGAAGAAGGGAAGGGGGGAGGAGGTAAGGAAGGGTGGACCGGCGGGGTACCGGGTCAGGTTGGGCCAGGTGGAGCCGGGTCAGGCGGGTGTGCCCTGACATGCAGGCATTCTCATGCAATATGGCCTGGGGCGTTACAGTTGTAGCACAACCCCTTCCTCCTCTGGTCAGTCGAGGTCCATCGGTTGTGGGCCTGTCCCAGACATGGGGCGGGCTGCGGGAGCTGGGGGTGCAGGCACAGGTGTGGGTCGTGGGGGAGTAGGTGTGGGTCGTGTGTGGAGAGGGGTCGTGGTCGGCTGGGTAGGGGTGCTCATGGCTGTGTGGCTTGGAAGCGCCACCATTGGTTGTCAAGGAGCATGGCTGGACACTTCCATTTGGTCCAGGTAGTGGGCATGGGGCGGAGCCTGTAGATGCTCTCATGGACCCGGGCGTTGATCGCTTGTTCGAATTGGTCAACCAGCCCTATGTCACCCAGCCTTGAGGCTGGCCCCAGTATCTCGAACTCCTGGATCACTTTGTTGTCAGGGATGGCTCGAGGGAGGTAGAGGTAGTGGCATAACGCTCGGTGCTAGCGGCCTGGATGATGGCAGGGCAGTGAGACTGTATAGTGGGCAGCTGTCATATCCGTGCATACCCGACCCCGACCCGACTTCCGGACCTCCACCCTCTTCACCTCCGGAGTCATAACCTACCGCTGCCTCTCCGATACTCACCTTCGGTCTTGGCAACACACCCCTCCTCTTACCTCTCCGACCCCTTCTCCGTCCGTTCCGATACTCATCTCGGACCGAACATCGCCCTACTCGCCACCCTTCCTACAACTCCGCTCCCCCCTCACCACACCTCCACCCTCCCGTCATCCCCTACGCTTTCTCCGTCCGTTCCGATATCCACCTTCGGACCTGACTACTCTTCCTTACCTGTCCCCTCTCTCCTTCCTCCGTCACTCCTCCGCCACCCTTCCGCCAAGTTACGACCATCCACCGCTGTTCCGTACTTCACACTCG